AGCATAGTGGCGGGGTAGCCCCGCCCCCCGGTGTATTTGAATGCGAGTCCCGCCTCTCGTGGCCCAGTCGGGCTTGGGGCTGTGAGGGGATGGGGCTGCTCTGAGGGGTTGGGGACCCCGCTCCTTACTGTCCTCGAGTGTCCTCTGCGATGGCTCTGCTTTCTCTTGGGGGATCCCCCTCTCGCTCGGGGGGTGGGGTCCTTCCCATTTCTGCTTTCACCTTGTTGGGCTAAACCTGGCTCCTCGTGTGTGTGGTTCTTCCAAGGGTTGTTCTGCTTCAGCACTTCTGCAAAGAGCTGGTCCTTGAGCTGAAGGTACCAGGCTGTGTGCTCTGCCCCTGCTCGTGCACCTGCACAGGGTGACATGCCTTCAGGGGGTGTTTCACCAAATCCTGGACTTGTGATGTGTTCCAGGAGTGAGTGTCAAGCAAAGGGAGTTGGGTTCCTGGACATCCTTCATGCCATACTTCAGGAAAACTGGAATAACCAAGCAGGAACCATGTAGCAGGTTACAGAGCCAAGCACAGTGTAGTCCTGGAGGGTGCAGGGCCGCTTGCCATGGGATTTCAGGAAGCTGGGAAAGGCTTGTGCAGAGATCGGAGGAAGGGAGTAACGTGGGAGCCACCCTGCGCCTCTTCCCCTGTAAGAGAAGCAACCTCTGGTCAAACCCAGCCTTTACTTTAAAAAGATTGCTGACGAATGTTGCTAATTGTGTAATCTCCTAAAAGGAAACCAGCTTCTCTGAGCAAGCGCAACCACAGACCGGCTTCCTCTGCGTTGGCTGCAGCCTTCACCTGAGCAGGCTCTCTGGGTAAGAAGGTCACTGGGGCTCTTTACAGCTTTGCAATACAGAAACGGTCCAAGACAAACTTTTGTCTGGTTTGGGGTCTGCCCCTCCACCACACAAAAAAATCTGCTTTCTGAAAATTGCATTAATGTTAGCCACTCTGTATCACAGATTTTACTAAAAGGTCCCTAGATAGGAAGTGGGACAGTGGGGAATGTTTCTAATTAGTTGATTTCTGATGTTTGATTTCTGATTAACAGTCTATTGTAGACTAAAGAGTGAATTTCTCCATTAATTATGTTGGAAATTAGCATGAAGGCATGCTGGTAAATATTTGGAGCATCCCTTTCTCCTCCCACATTATTCTTCCCTTCTGGGTTAAAGTTGGATCTCTCAGTGAAATGGAATTTCTGATTAGAGAGAGAGGAAAAAAAAAATCCTAAAATTCCAAACATTCGAAAGAGAAAAATAAGGCATTTTTTCCATTTCCTCACAAGCTAATCCAAGGTACTTGTTACAAGGGCTCCGTTGGAGGTGTGAGGACTTGGACACACTTGGTGCATGTTGGAAGGATGTGGGTACAGAAAGTACAGCACAAATTTCTGTACCAACAAGCAGACATAAGTCAAGCTACAGTAGGGCTAAGCCAGGCTCAGGAATTGTTTCCTGTGTCATGCCTCACCTTGCCCTTTCTGAAAGCCAAAACAAATGCTCTGAGCTCACCAAGGAACGGAGCTGCATCGCTGTAACGAGTAGGAGGAAAGGGAGTCAGCTCCCATGGAACAAACAGTTCCTAGGGAAAAGAGAGCAGATAGTCATTGTAGCTACAACCTTTCATGGAAACGATAGCTTCTTGGAAGGCACATGTGATTTTTACTTGAAGTAATTAAAGATTGAATATTAAATATAAGCGAGCAATACTTCATGGCAGTAGTTCCTTTCGCATCCTGTTACTGCATTCATCCACATCTGGTCACTTACATATAAAACTAATAATATATTTTTTTGCACCCACAAAGATTGTCAAATCATCACAGAAATCTGTAGTGTATCCAATTCAATATTCAGTCTCAGTTATCAACCAAAGTTGTAGTGAGGGAAAAGGTTGAACTGATAGATGATTTCAGTCTTCATCCTTCTCTTTCCTTAAGTGAAAGAACACATGTACATGACATTCAAGATGCTGGCAGACATAAGATGTAATGACTAGAGAGTTTAACTTATGGAGTCTAATTATAATCCAAATCAGAAAATGTTATACATATATGTGTGTGTGTGTATATATATATTTTTGGGTGTGGGGGGAGTCCAGTGAGTATCAATGCCTATCGCTTCTCTTCTGCAAGCATTAGCTAGGTACAGCTTGCAACAGAGTATTAAATTATTATTCCAGGTTCCTACTAAAGCAAAATGTATCCTTGATATCTGTATGAATTACTGACTTTCTGATGGGAAAAGTGACATTTAGCATGTCCGGAAACAATCTAGGTTTGATTACCAGGGCAGGGCATTATTGAGTATAACTGGCCATAAACATTTCTTGTGTTTCTTTTCGAGCAGGATTTGTGTTTGGTCAGATAGATCAATGTTCCTCCTTCTGACTTTCCGAGATCCCTGTGGTCTGGAGCAGGGCAGCTGCTTTCAAATGTCCTTGGTGGTTTCCTACAACCGCTTACAGAAATCACCCTGCTTTGCCCAGCAGAATAGCAGCAGAAAATGGATTCTGCATACACTAAACTTAAGGCACAAGCCTTAATTCTCACCTAGAGCCTTGGATGTGTGCGTTTGAACCACTTAAATCCTTTAGCTGTCTTCAGTGAGATGGAGCAGAAATGTGTTCACTTTGTGGGGAATGTTTGTATATATAAAGATCAGAGCATGCTAACTATATTTTTGCGTTTTATAGAAAATTATGAGGTGTGGGTAAAAATACAAAAGACGTAGCACTTATTCTCAGTTTGACACCATTAAAGAGTGGCTTTTTGGAGCACTCAGATTTACCCGGAGTTGCCGAACCCGAAGCAGAACTTTAGCTGTCACACTGCGCTTTCCCCTTTCCACATGTCCCCTCGCCCGGCTGATCTTTCCTCCCGCTTTTGCCTTTCCCTTTTCCCGCACCAATTTCCCGCTTTTGCCTTTCCCTTTTCCCACACCAATTTCTGATCGCGAGCGCTGTCGCGACAGGCCGCTACGGGGGCACGGGACTGTCGCGACAGGCCTGGGCAAGAAAGGCGGGAAAGCCTGGGGTAAGGCGCTCTCCTCCCCGCCATTCCTCCCTCGCGGTGACGGGGCGCGCGATTGCGCGACAAGG